ATGATTCGAAAGAATTGGCATATCCGCTAGGACTTACGCAAATTGAAGATACTAACTGAAATTCAATGTCACATACCTTCATAGGAGATGTGTATGTTTAAATGTCTAAGGTGCCACGCACTGTTGACATACTCCAGTCTATGCATTTAAAATTTTAATTTACAATCTACTAGCCCAAATTCAGTTTTGAATTCATACTACTATATATTTAACTAAATTTTTGTATATTTTTCACTTCATGAACTAGTTTCACAGGCTAGGGGCCTGTGCTAAGTTTGATGACTGCAACTTAGAAGCCATGGCCATGCAATTTTGGCTGGTCACCATTGAAGGATATCTGGTTGCTGATACAATAATAATCCATTCCTAATTTCTAATTTAAAAAAGAATTTTTTCTAGTTTCATTGTCATTGATGACTAGTATATCTTGTAACAATTTTCCATTACACATAGTTTGAAACTATAAATTTGATTCATACCTCTATTTGTTACAATCAGTTTAGACGTTGAAAACAGTCCGGATAATGCATTCTGTCAGATGTCTCAATAATACATATATAATGTAATTGTTATAAGTATTTTCACAGCTAATTATTTGGTCTATTAACTCAGTTGCTGGTTTACAATAGCATATCCTGTAATGTGCCTGACAGTTTAAGGCTGCAGTCCACATATATTTAAAGAACAAGTCAGGATCCATTTAAATGTTAGACATTAATTCTACACATATTATAATATTGTCATTAGATATATGATTTGTCGTAACATTTTTGTCCTAACATGACTTGATTAAATTAATGGTAACTTCGGCAAATTTAGCCCCTCTGTTTCAATCCTTATTACAGTCAAGCTCATCCTAGTCAAGTCTCCCTGGGTGGCGGAAGTTCCCTTTGTGGCGGTTTTTACCTCCCAGTTTGGTTATTTCGATACAAATATGTACATGCCATGTTTGTTATTATGTAACATTTGTCATGTTTGTTATTATGTAACATTTGTCATTTTTTATGGCATTTAATAAATGCCCTATTTCATTCAACCTAAGTGTTGTGTTTTATCTCATACCAAACAAGTTCGTCTTGCCAGTTATATTTGCTTGACCTGGACAATACATAAAATAGATTTTATGCCACATAAAATAATTTATGTCATTGTTCTGTCCTATACTCATTACTGTACAGAATATTACGGGTCAGGTTTTTAGCCGTTACGGGGCAGGTTTTAGCCAAGTACGTCTTAGCCAATCGATATCAAGACTTAAATCATGTGATGTTAATTAACCAATGATTACATTAGATCTATCACAAAGAAATAATTTTGGCGAGGAATGATTCTCGCCTTTCTGTTTACTAAAATCCACCTCCTCCAACTCCATCCTCCTCTTTCAATTTTTGATGTTGATATAAATACCATTTCATTTATTCTTAATGAATCAGTTGTTTCACTTATTGTTTATCTCAATTATTTGTGCAACTATTCATGAGATACACTATATATATGACACAACGTCCAGGAAATTGCGAAAGGAAATGTATTTGCTTGCCAACTAGTAATGAAGAACAGATGAATCATTGATAAATCAAAAGAAATGTTGAAGATCACCTTCATTTGAAAATTATCGGGTTAAAATAGGAGTATCTTATTATGGAAGCTAGTCATTTGTATTTGGTAAAAGGTGGATTTCAAATATCTCAAGAGGCACAGAAGCGGCGACTTTTGTCCGTTCCAATAAAACATATGATACTTCTATATTATCACACATCTGTGCCGCTTATACAAACAAATATAGCCCGTTTAATTAAAGTGAAAAAAATACATTGACGCGCCTATAGTATAACGCTCACATTTAACACGTCGAAGTCACGTCAAAATATATGCACAGCCGTGCAATACCATTTCTACGGAGTCGTAAAAGCGGCACGGCCCGGGTATGTTATAAATCGGGAAATTATCCTAGGCTCAATACAGGAATGGTACGCTCTCAATAATATGGTCATTAATCCAGAAAAGACAACCTGCATGCATAGTGGATCCAAATGTAAAATAAATAGCATAGGCAATCATTCTTTGAATATTGAGAATTCGAGTATAAATAATGTCCATCACTTTTTCTGTCAGTAATAACATTTTCGTCATATGTTAGATAGTTTTTAGAAATTAAATTTAATTTAATGTATCTGCCAAATTCCCTTCAAATAGACCGCTTGGAAGAAGAAAATATAGCGTATTTTCTAAAGTGTTTGGGATAAAGAATGGATGAATGTGTCTCAAAGAAGATGCCACTTATTATAGTTTGACAAAATCTTTATTAAATACTTAGACAAAATATTTATTAAATAGAGGATATTTGTTTGTTTTGCATGTAAGATTGAAATATAATTTCACTGAGTGAACACCAGACGCAATATTTTCACGAGTGGCGTAGCCATGGTAGCATCGAGTGAAAATATAATAGCTGGTGTTAACGAATGAAATATATTTCGCGCATTCTTCCTTGTGACGTCATCACATCATGACGTCACATTTTTAATTTTGAAATATAGGTCTGTTACATTTCTCTAATTTTGTTACATTTTTAACATGATGTATGACGACATCGACTTTCTTTTCCTAAAGAAGCAAAATTTACGCATGACGGCATTTATTTCTGCCTGTTATTCCATTTAGTTATGATTTTCTTTTCATCCACATTCAGATATAGTCCGGCTACAGTGAAAATTATATTTTATAAATTTCACTAGTGGTTTATCAGAATATAATCATCTGATATATTACAATAAAACACTGGAAAGCATGAAATAAAGCTATTAAAAAAATGTTTTTATCATTGACTTTTATTTTTCTTACATGGATCGTAAGCCACATTACTGCATGATCAAACCAGATCGGGATTACGGACAAAAGCCCCCCCCCCACCACGGACAAAAGCCGCCCCCCCCTTCTAAAAATGACATGGTGAACAAAAGCACCGCCCCCCCCCATGAAATTTACACATAGGACAAAAGCCCCCCCCCCCCTAAAAAGTAAAGGTAGGACAAAAAGCCCCCCCCCCATGGTCAATCAAATGTACATATAGTGTATTAAAGTTGTGTTTTTTATGTGTTTAAAAGATATGTATGGACATCACATGTAGGTGACATATTGCTAAGGATATTAATTTGATCCCTTTACAAAAGTGATTAAACATTACTACTCTTCTGACCCTTGTTGTGTATATGAAAAGCTATGAATTCAGTATCGCATGCATGCATTATTTCATCTGTTATCATATACTTTGTTATCACTTCAATATATACATTATAAATAAACATTAAAACAAATTCTTTTCATTTTTATTTAAAAGTTTGTGTAAAATTAGATGAATTTGAGCACCAGTGTGTGTGAAAAAAGATGGGGGGGGGGGCTTTTGTCCTACCTGTATTTTTGATGGGGGCTTTTGTCCTATGTGTAAATTTCATGGGGGGGGGGGCTTTTGTCCACCTTTTCATTTTAAGACGGGGGGGGGGCTTTCGTCCGGGGGAGGGGGGGGCTTTTGTCCTACACTCAACCAGATCCAACCAGTTTCAAATGGACAGTAAACCACGGTTTAAAATACTTGGCACCCTAGTTGTATATTAATCAGATTATCACTAGTATCTTTTTAAAATACCATATACCACCCCTAGGGCATCATGTGACATTCTAGAGGGCTTAATTGGACCACATGTTTATTATTTATTTGCTAATTTTAGTTATCTGAACTGATAAAGAGATAAAAGACATGTTTTAGTAAATAACAAATCCTTTGTCTTTAGTGGAGCTTCATATTATCTATATTAAATAAAATGTAGTAAAAGTCTCTGTTAGAGGGTAAGAATGGCAAAATGAAATAAGAAAACAAAATTTAATGTATATATATTTTTTTGTTCTTGTAAACTTAAATAGAGTAATTACTTATTTTTATTTTATTTTCAATCCTCGTTAAAAAGAACAAAAGTATGATACTTTTTTCCATACTTGAATTGTAGTACATGTACTAGTCTCGATAAGAAATTAATATCTAAATCCCAGTTCTTACAAGTGCCAGATATGTGTTAGTAAGATTGATTATATATCACTCATAAATGCATGAGGGTAAAATAAAATATAACAATTGAAACACATTAATTCATGAGCATTTAATACAAAGGCCATTTTATTTTTCAATGTCTTATTAACTGTCCAATTTAAAAAAAAAAAAAACACAAAAAAAAAAACAAAAAACAAATCGACAAAATAGGGAATTACCAGAAAACAGCTTATGCACATTAAAACATGTGTCCCTGCTTTAGATTCACCTGAAACACAACAGGTGTAATAAATTTAATCAGCTCATATATATGTCTCTGCCGAACTGTAAATAATAATTAAAAAACATATTATGTGCAGAACATATATAAATTTCAACAAAAGACATTGAGCACTGAAACTTAATTAACATTTAAAGTGTATCTAAAGATCTCCCAAAAATATACACCCCCACCTCTGCGCGGGGATGTACATGTATACATGTACTTTTCATATTTTTATACAGCACGTACAGGCTTAGCGGTCAATAAAGGGGCATTATGTCACTCCAAGGGTATTTAAATGAGTTAACAGGTGAAAGTCAAAATAAGTTTTCATTTTGCCACAATTCCTTTTGATATAAAAAATTATTTCACATTAACAATAAACAAAGCATGGATCATGACAATTTTTTGGTAAATATCCATTAGAATTTACCTGTAACCATGGTGACGTTCAATTAATAAAAAGTGAGGCAGTCTTCTTAAATTTTAGGCAGATTTAAATTTTACATTTCTTTCACATTTTCCAATATAAACTGTTGGTCAATCACCATTTTAACAGTCAATCTTTTGAAATATATAGTCAATTCAGATCAACTTGACTATGAAAAATATGAGCATAATGCCACCTATCTAAATACAGTACCCATACTATTGTGATCCGAAGTTTGACGGAAAGAGCCAAGAAGTTGCGATTGCTGAGATCGATAAAATCAGAGAATACCGAATTAAGACATTATCGTGAAAACTGGTGACAAGAAAAAACTTGCATAAATTTCTAGCGTGAAATATCCTGATAAAATGTCAGACGACGAAAAGTTTGATGGGGTTTTACTAAATATGGCAACCCAGCTCGATGGCGGTGTTCCTGAAGTACGTGTCTGTGTTGTAATATTGTAAAAAATCGTCATCGATTTTCATCAGTTTCGGTTTGAAAATCATGGCGGAATTTGAGGAGCGTGCTATTGTGTGGGTGGGGTAACACTTGCGTTTTTGGTAATATATCCAGCATAATGATTAGACCCTTCTGTACATAACAGGAATAAACTTAATTACAATAAATTAAATTTAACGGAATGAACCTTACACATGTTATTGTAATATACCCTGGGTCTATTCCAGATTTCAGTACTTTTCACCACAGGGACCCAGCACAGTGTTGGGATAGTGTAAAAAAATGTAATTCAGAGCTCCAGATAGCGTGCGTATAAGCGTAAAATATGCATAGAAAATCTAAAATACGCATCACTTTCAAAATTCGTGCGTCAAAGATATGCACAACAAAATGAAAATACCCTTGTATGTCAAAATTTAAGCGTGAAAGAATAGACCCTTCTCAAATTATATGCATACCTGGAATTCCAGAACCAGAACGAGGTTTAAATGGCACAAATGTAAACACACTGACCAGTAAAGAAAAGTTCTAATTATCATTTGTGTGTGCCTATGTGCTATTCTGATGGTAAATATGATTTACCATGTTCCAAAGGATAAAGATTAAAAAAAACATCAACAAATTATGGATGACTAACTTTCTAAGATAAGAAGGGATAAAGGGTCATTGTTAAAGGTAAGCACATAAAAATAATATTTTGTAAACTTTGACCAATATATGAACAGAATAATATTTTTGTAAAAATACAGATTTTTTAAATTTAGAATACATAATGAGAGAACTGCTTGTTTTTAATCTAACAGTTATAACAATTAAAACTAAAAATGTAAATTGTAAATTAAATTATCAGTTCAAATATATGTTACAAATAGAGGATTGAATCTGACTAATAGTTACCATACCATTCCTTATTATAAATATATGTTGTATAGTTTAGGGTCACTGCATCTACTGTGGTGTGTTCCAAACATTTTAAACTGAGGATTACAACTGGACTCCACTTAAAAATGGTTATATTCCATCAGTGTTTAATTGGGTTGAACAAACAACTCTAATTAGGCCACTTATAAGAAAAAATCTTTCACCAAAGAAAATGCTCATTGATAGGTAAATTTTATGATAAAGTCACTGATTTAACTCCCATATTCATCATTTCATTTAAATAGATATAATATAATGCTTATTTATGTTAAATAAATGTATTGGCTTATAGATAAAAAAAATCATTTAAATTCTCACTGATATTAAATAAATAATATGTTTTGGTATAATATATATCTTTCAGCATTGTCCATAATGAAGATAAAGAAGATAATGCAACAAGTACCAATTGCCAACCATCTACATCTTATGGGTCTACAGAAACACAGGAAGAAAATGATATTTATAGGCTGATACTTGAACTGGAGGAGACCAAAAAAAGTAAAGACCCTGCAACTCAGCTGAGTTTGTATTGAAATAACAAAGGAACATGTACACGTTTGCATTTGTATCATTGTTACATGGATGCATGTCAGATGTTGAGATCTCCTTGAACTTTTTGAAACTGGTGATGATGTGATGGGTGATAAAGGGTTTACATTAAGGAAGACACTTCCAGACAGGGATCGAAGTGTCATCGAATATTTCAGCATTTGTATAATAGACAAATTTACACTAGAAAATGAGAGAGAGACTGATCAGCAAGAAGCAAAAACTAAAAGAATTAAAGAGAATCATCTGTTTCATTTCTGTCAACCAAAGATGGACAGTAGCTAGCATGTATACTACCTAATTTTAATGAACCCATAGTGCAATCATGGACAAAATGTAATAGTCTGTCTTATGTATTATATTGTTTTTATATGTATATATAAATTGGTATTTCAATAAAAAAAAAGCATAATGAAAAACAATATCATATTAGGAAGTATTAAAGTTTAGTCTTTTTATCAAAATTTTGAAATAAATAAGAAAATTCATTTTTTCTGTGTTTTTTTTTTCCTATGGCATTTCCCTTAATTATATTGCGCAACCATTATCTGCTGGTAGTACTGGAAGTACAAATTAAATTAAAAAAGGACATGTATACATAGAGTTTGGCTAGGTATTAGTTTATTTCAGATACTATGGTAAACGGTCTTTACAACTGAGTCAATACATGTTTGATAAAATCTGCCCAATACACATCTGATAAAGATTTTCCACAGGTCATTAGGGGCTTATTTGTAAGATTCAATTTGCAATTACCATTATGTTGGCACCAAGAATCCATAAATAACAGAACAACTGAGATTATATAAAACAAGACACCACAGATTTATATCTATAAACCTTATATTGTGTTAGGAAATATGTATATGACAGCAAAATTGAAACCGAAAGTAAAAAAAATCTCTTCTCTTACTCACCTCTTAAACCATTAATTGATACCTCACAAATATAATTGAATTCTTTATAGAACAGAACAGAACACAATATATTAATATATAACTCTACAAATGAGAAATTAATGTTAGGAACCAAAGATAAGTCAATAGTTCATTGTAGGCACAGCTTATACTGGCTTATCAGCTTGCCAGTTACGCCTCGTTCTGGTTCATGTTCTAAAAATAGCTGTAGAATATTAAGAATGGTCTATAGAAGTGTAAACATTTGATATTTAGAAAGAGGATGTTTTGAGCATAATAATACAATATATGTCCATTTTACTGCATTGAAAACTAAAAATTCTGTTGTCAACAACCAGGGCCTTTTCACTAGTTTTGGAGAAGGCGCCCTAGCCCTTTTTGTGGGGAAAAAATGCGCAGTTTTCATACTTTTGGGGAAAAAAAATATATTTTCCACTGGCAGTTTAACCACTATTACTATAAATAAAGACTTATTTAAATCATACATTTGGGGGAAATATCATAATATATTTGCATATTTTCCTCCAAACACACTTTATTTTGGGAGCTTTCTGTCTAACATAAGTTAAAGGGATTTTTTAGCATATCAATTTATTGCCACTTTTTATTTGCACTCATATTTCCTAATTATAGAAAATTTACGTAGGACATGTGAGGGTTCTTGATTTGATTCAGAAGGAACATTATTATCAGTTCCCACCATATCACTATTACTGGCACTGTTGTGCTAGACTCGCTATTTCCCACACTTGGGCATGTTGTGCTACTCGGACACACAAACTTGCGAGTGGATACATGTATTGGATTCTCTTGCACTTACAGGAAGGTCAACAATTTGTCCAATTTTTTCATAAACAATAACAAATGTCACTCAATTGTATTTTCTTCTTGTTCTGTGACATTGTTTACATTTGCGACATCGTAAATCGGTCGCCGTCAGGGCCAAAAAACCCTTCTTTGTAGAGGCCGAATATAGGCTACTTCCCCAACCAAACTAGCCTCTTTTTTTCCCCAGTTTGGTCCTCAAAATTCCCCAGTCTTTTGAAAATTCCCATAGAATTTAGAACAAAATTAAATGATGTTGTTGAATTAAGGATTTTTACTGCCTTATTTATATTTTCCAGTGCTTTTGCTTACCTATTTTGAAGAACTTGTTAAAAGTTTGTGTTAAATTTGAGACCCCCTTTTCCCAAAGTATGCCAAAATCATGCATATTTTCCCCAAGAAAAAGGCTGAGGCCCCTTCCCCAAAAATGGTGTTTTGGCCCTGGCCGTATTGTCGTAAAAAAATCACGTGTGCACTATAAAAATAAGGCAGCGGGGTTTTCCCAAGTTGCAAACAGTGAGTTAACATCAATATTATTGTATTGAATCGAGGTATCCCTCTAGTGGGTAATTGAATAATTAGCTTTCATTGGACAAAAACAATGATCTATTTTTAAACAAGAAAGTTTTTTTACAAGTTTTTTTCTTCGATTTTACATTTCTCTGAAGGGGAAAATCTTCGCAAGAAGGGGAATTTTAGACTGTTTTTTGGGGAAAAATGTAGTAAGTTGGCTTGGGGAAGTAGCCGAATACCGGCTACAGCAAAGAAGGGTAAAAAGGCCCTGACAACGCATGTTAAAAACGAAAGTAGCAGGAAGTACAGAAGGGATGTAACTGTAGATCAACCTGTGAAATTATTTATATAATTATCGTAGGAGTTGACATAGTATGCATCGATTGACATGCTTATGCCTCAATATAAGCAAAAAATATATTTTAATTTCTTTCACTTTTGTTGTTTGAGCAAAATACATGTTTCTCACCTGCAGTTTTGTACTCAATATTTTCGTACCCAGTTAAGGACAATTTTCTCTCAGACAAATACTTTTTTTAAGGAAAGATAAAAAATCTTGTTTATTATTCTTTCATTCTAACTTCAACTTTCATTGTTCAAACTGGAGTACATGATAAGGTACATGCCAACAGAAATGAAGAAAGAAAAATTATTAACTCCTAGAAAATAAAAAATTTCAGGGCTTCCACTAGTGGAAGTTTGGGAGTCATTTACTCATTCATTTTGGCCTGTGCATTCCGAAAATCTAATACTTTTCCTTCTCTACCTATATAATGTGACTTCCAAATTTTGAAAATGGAAGCCCTTATATAAAGTTATAATTTTGCTGTGTATCCTAAACTTGAGTTTCAGTATACCCTGGAAGTCTGACTTTACAGGGCATGTTTTGTATTGTTTCACATTGAATCAGTAACTTATTTGTAAAGGTTTTTCTAAAAAAAGAAAATATACAAACAAACAAAAACAATAAGTTAAATTTGTTTATAAAAAATGCAAAATGCTTTTTTGACAGATTTTACCCCTTAAGTTTTTCAGATTTTGCATTTTACCCCTCACTCCAAATTTTGAGGGGTAAAAACCCCTTGGCCAAAAAAATTATCTGGAGCTCTGGTAATTCTAGAAAAATTATATACTGGCAGGTATAATATATAGACATATTGAAAGAAAGGGATGCATAGCGAAAAATTCCAGCTTTGCAAATTGATTTGCGGGCGGATTTTATCACGGGTCAAATGAATGCATTTCCTGAG